GTCACTTCTTTTGTCTTTATGTCATCTGCCCTATTCTGGCCTCCAGAGAAAATTCTCAAAAAAAGAAAAACAATCATTCCTCCTTGGTAGCGTGCTAAGCATTTCTTTATTTGTTCTCATTTTTATACTCAAGTGTGAGCAACAGATGAAGGCCAGGCTGTTTCACCTTCGCATTCCCAGCACTTAGAACAAACCAAGTAAAGAAAAGCACCTGATGAGCACTTCCTAAAGTGAATTGAATATGGATTCTGACTGCTTAATATGATGGCTTCTCCTTCAAAGGCCTCAGATACCCATCTCAGATCAACAGAATGATATTTCTGATATATGGCATCATACACAATAAATGCATAATCTTTAAATAACACTATAACTAATTATTATCATAAAGATAATATGTCTTACTTTAGTGCTATACATAAGTGAGATATTCATGCTATGTGAACAGTGAGTACCCAGCATTTTGGTACCTTCTTTCTGGTAAAGCAAGAAAGGCTCACATCATGGAGTAATGTGAGTACTAGAAATGTGGGCCCCTGGGGGTAAAAGATACCTCTTAACAGGAAGTAGAAGAAAAATAGGGAATAGTCAAGTGTAGGTCCAGCTTGGAATCTTAGACTGGGAATCAGGAAACTGATTCTAGTCCCAGATTTTAGGGATTTTTCCCAGGGTTTATTTATTTATTCACTGTAGCAAAATATACATACAACTACCATTTTAACTATTTCTCCAGTGCATAATTCAGTAGCATTAAGTACATTATGTTCATGTGTTATGCAACCACCTCTATTGATCTCCAGACTTTAAATCTTCTCAAACTGCATACTCCATACCCATTAAACACGAACTCCCTGTTCCTAGCTTCCTCCAGCTCTTGGCAACCATCATTCTATTTTCTGTTTCTGTTTCACTTGGGCATAATGCCATCAAGGTTCATCCAGGTTGCAGCATATACAAAATTTCCTTCTTATTTTAATTTAATTTTTTGTGGTACTGAGGATGGAACCCAGGGCCTCATGCTTGCTAGGGAAGTGTTATACTACTTAACTGCATCCCCGGGCCATTTCCTTCAAGATAGCATAATATTCCATTGTATGGATATACCACATTTTGTTTATCCCCTCATCCATTGATAGACATTTGGGTTGCTTCCACTTTTTGCTATTGTGAATGATGCTTATGAATACGATGTACCAATATTGGTATGAGATTCTACTCATCTGTATGAGATTATTATTTTGGGTATATGCCTTGAGGTAGAATTGCTGTATCTTATGGCAATTCTGTTTAAGAGGAACCACTGTCATATTTTTCACAGTGGCTACACCATTTTACATCTTCATTAGTAATGCACAAAGGCTCCCCTTTATTTGTTCATCTAATATGCTACATGGTCTCTGGTGAGGCACCATTACTCTGTGCCTCGTAGTTTCCTTATCTATAAAACAAGGAGGTCAGAATAATCTGTAAGGTTTCTTATAGCAGTAAAAGAACTGTCTGGGCCTAATTAACTCAAGTTGAAATTAGGGCCAGAAAGCAGTCTGGATGATTTATGGAGCATGACTTGATACTTGAATCCTCCTCCTATTACAACAAAGTAATATTTTTTTTCCAAGAGAAGAGCAGAGACTCTAAAAATCATTTTATGCACATGGCTCTCATAATAGTGGCAATAACTTCCTGAGCATGTACCCTGCCCTGAGCATCCCACATACACTATCTCTGTTCATCTGTGCAGAGAACTCAACTCCACAGGTGAAGAAACCGAGGCATGGCAGAATTATGACATCTGCCCAAGGCCACACAGCCAGCAGTGAAAGAGCTAAGATCTGTCCTTGGCCTGCTCTGCTCTGAAACAGGTTCTTTATCTTTCTCTTTTTGTTTTTTCTGAGGCAGGTTCTTACTCACCCAACACCATTCCTTGCTCACTCAGTGTTCCTCATGAGTCTTTCCTTTTTTCTCTCTTATTTTCTTTTGTGGTACTGGGATTGGAACCCAGGGCCTTGCACATGCCAGGTGAGTGCTCTACCATTAAGCTACCCCCCATGGCTCCTCAAGCCTGGAGTACTTTTAACTATTTTCATTTACCACATTTCTATTTAAATGTCCCAGCTCTCTGCAAAGACCAGCTCAGTGTCCTCATCTCTAGCACTTAAGCGTCTTAGTTTCAGGCATGAAGGCCAAAATGTACAAAAGGGTCCTCAGAATTCCCTCAGTGAATTTTTTTTTCCCTAGTCATTTTATCTGATAGCTTTCAAGTGTTTTCCAGAAGATTAGTTTGAAGGCACTTCTTCCCCTGTAGAGGGGGAAGAAGCAGAATGCTTGTTGTGTGTCTGGGAGGTTTACATATATTATTTCATTGAATCCTGACAACAACCCTATGGTGTGAGTTTTATTACCTCTCAATACAAGCAAGGATACTGAGAGTTAGAAAGGGAAAGATCACCAAGGTCACTCAGCCAGAAGGTCATAGGTCTGGGAAGCAGGCCTGGCACAGTGAGCCTGAAAACTTGCTCCTTCCTTAGGGAACATTGTCCCAAAGAGAACATCGAGTACCATTTAGGAAATCAGGGCTGGATAAATGACATGTAACAATCCCAGGTGCTGACTCAGGACAATGGAGGAGTTGACATTAGAAAGAGGCTGAACTAGAGGGGAGTGAAGAGAGTCACAGTTCCCTGGAAGTGGACCTGCTAGGACAAGGGAACAACTGAGACTCCACTGAAGCTGAGATTCTTTACAGATGAAGCACTTGAGGCTGTTCCCTCAGAACAGACTGTGGGGGCTGTGACTAGACAATATATAGGTTAATCACCAAGAAGATTAGCTGAATATTTTCATGGAAGATATAGCTTTAAGAAATTGAGTTTTATCTAAGGAGAAAGTCTTAATAATTCCACATGAATCTTAACCTTGTTTAGTACCTGCTCTCTGTTCTACAAAGCTTGGCCAAGGGAGTGTTATCTAGTTTCAGATTTAGCTGGAAAGAACTCTCTCAAGAGGACTCTGAGGTACCAGAATGCACTTGAGAACTTTAAAAAATAGGAAGAAAAAATTAAGAAAAGCAGATGTGAGTGACATCTGATCCAAAAATTGATGGGACCTCTTCAGATTTCTAAGGACCTGGATTCCAAAGGTATGAGTTATTCATCAGAGGGGTACTCATCTAAATTGTCTGTCTCTAAATAGAGAACATCAGAGTTTCTCAAGGAACAGACTGACTTTTTCTGGTGGGGGTTGGGGAGGGATACTGGGGATTGAACTCAGGGACGCTTGACCACTGAGCCATATCCCCAGCCCTATTTTTGAATTTTATTTAGAGACAGGGTCTCACTGAGTTGCTTAGTGCCTCACTTTTGATGACACTGGCTTTCAACTCGTGATCCTCCTACCTCAGCCTCTCAAGCCACTTGGATTACAGGCCTGCGCCACCGTGCCTGGCTAGAGTAACTTTTATTTCCCACTCACCACAGTACCAAACTAAGGGATCTTTATATGCCAAGGCTCACAATGCACATTTCATTATAGCTGAACAAGCATTTTCATTCCATTTATAAACTCTAGGGTCTTTCTTTTAAATGTTAAAGTAGTCTAATCAGCCACAGTAATCAACAAAACCTGTGCACCTGGAAAAACCACTAGTTTTTTGATGGCTGTTGTCTTGGGTCAAGCTACGATGCCTTTGGGATCATGAAGAATCAGATTCTGGGCCCTGGAGCTGGGAAAATATTGATGCAAAGTATGCCTGATACAGCTTATATTATCAAGGTTAGCTGTGGCCAATGCAGGTGAGTACATTTCCCTTCAGGAAGTTAAGAAACTTCAGGGCATGGGTCCACAAAGATAAGCCCTTCTCCTTTTTTTTTTTTTTTACACAATTATAAGAGCCATGTTCTTGGTCTTCTTAGTCTAAAATTTCCACTAACTGTAAATTACTCCTATGAAAACATTCTAGGTAGGAGACATTTGGTGGAATCCCAAAATACTTTGTTTTAATTTCTATATGAGATTAGTGCTTTTTCAATGTTAGGACATTTTTTTGGCTTCTGAGCTCCTGAGAATCAAGTTATGAATTATGATTCACTTTGGCAACGTTTGCCTGAGAACAATTTCTGTGATTATTTTTCTTTTAGAGATGCAGGGAATTCTCAGGGACAATCTTGCCTTCAGTCCCAGTACACAGTGACCATTCTCAAAATGGCATTGATTATAAAGTTGAAGACTGCTAAAAAGACAAGTCTTTCAACAAGATTGCTAATATTTTCCAGATTTAGCATTTTTGTTCCAATCACTACAAAGGACATAACTTGAGGAAGATAATTGTAAGAAATATAAACTGAGGTTAGTATCCATGGGACTTTACCCAACAGATAATGAATTGTTCTGATTTTCCCCTACTCAAAGAAGTAATTAATTCACTTCTATATCCCCTGTGTACATAGCAGGTGATAATACATAATTTTTAAACTCAATCTAATGGGGTTACAGAACTGACCCAAATTATATATACTTTCTTAGTTTTAACAGAAGGATAGCAAATCCATGTTTCTTCCACACTTCAAAGTAAGGCATATAACATGATGCCTTGAGTGCATTAAGAAATAATAAAAAGTCTCCCAACGTGATGCATGACCATATTCCACCTAAATCTTGGCTTGGCACCTGGCTTTCATAAAGATAACAGGGTGGCCAAAGAACTCTGCAGAGACATGGCCTGATCACGAAGGAGGGACATCATTTCACCTAAACTCAAGCCATAATGCTAGAAATACTTGATATCTGGCAAACAAAGCTATCAACTGTTATCGCAGTTGGCCCCTTAATCACTATTGCATAAGAGGAAGCCAGACAAGACCTGAGAGAACTCTGGTTCTCTGATCCTTTAGGTTGAAACACAAATTTGAGTTAGGGCTGAGCGCTTACTGGTAGGAAGTACTCAAAAAAGACACAAGAAGCACACACAGCAAGGTGGTCTGCAGTAGGTGGGAAGCCAGACTTACAGATTTTAGGATCCCTGTGGCATCTTCATGGAGCCAGGTAGGGTAGACCACCTCATCATTCAGGATGGCCTCAAAGAGGTCGTCTTCATTCTCAGCCTCGAAGGGTGCATGACCGCAGAGCATCTCGTAGAGCAACACACCCATGGCCCACCAATCCACAGCAGGCCCATACAGCATTTCCTGGAGGATCTGTGCAAAGAGGGTAATGTGACAGGTGCTTCATGCATCTGGTTATCAAAGGTATTCTTCATGTCTAGGGGCAATGATGGATTAGGAAATATTAAACCACAAAAATGGAATTCCCTGTGTTGGTATGCAGTCTCCATTCCATGTCTATGGAGTAGTCTGTTTCCCTGTGGTTGACTCTGAGGCCCCTTCTCTTCTAGGTGATCAAAAATTGATGGCCTATTTCAGCCAAGGGATGGCACATGAAAAGCCAACACAGAAAGTGTTTTGAAAATCCATCAGTGCAGAGGGAAGAGGAGACTGAGATCACTCACTCATATGGGAAAGATTGAAGAGCTTTTCTTTAGATCTGCTAAGTGAGGCTGAAATTAAATCACTGAGCAGAGACAAAGGGATAAAGAGTCATGAGCAGAACACACTTTGTCCTTATTTAGAGCTAAGGCCTAAAACAGCTGCAAAGTTTACAAAAACTTTTTTTTTTTTTTTAAACTCAAATTCTTATTTAGAAAAACCTCAGACATTTTCAACCCTATTCACCCAATGAGCTATAAATGAGTCTGGGCTGAACCACACAAAAACAGCCAGTGGCATTTCTGGTCAGGGTTACTATAGACCTCAAATTTCAAAAGCCTTATGAAGCAGGCCCACTCACCTCTGGAGCAATGTAGTCAGGTGTTCCACAGAACGTGGCTGTGGTGACACCATTACAGATCCCCTCCTTGCACATTCCGAAGTCTGCCAGTTTACAGTGACCCTCATGGTCCAACAGCACATTGTCTAGTTTCAGATCTCTGAAAGAAACCAAGGGTAGCAGCATGTGATAAGGCAGCCAGGCCTCAAACCACCCACCTGGAAGAACTGGCTCACAAGATGGGTCATCAGACCACAAAATTGTCACATGGGCTTTCTGCACATGCTTCAGAAAGAATTAAACTTTTCTGGGTTGTCTGGATAAATTAAAAAAAAATCTATATCAAATCTCAGAACATGCCTCTATGTTCCTAGACAATGGGTCCCCATGAGCAGCCTAGCCATTTAGAAAAGTATAGACTGCCCTTTAGAAAATCTGGGCTGAGCATGACTTTCCATGTACCTTGTACCCCAAAGAAATCCACCTATCTCATCACCCATTTTCTACTCAGGCACCCATATCTGCCCATGAGAGTTCACTCAGTGAGCATTCATGGAGAAAGTGGTCACTGGGTGCCTGTCTGGGTCTGTGGCAGGCATCAAGAGTACAGATGATCTTTGTCCATAAGGAACTCTCAATACAATGGGGACACAGATATTTGCTAGACTGTAAACTTAATGGTGAACCAAATCAACTTGATCTAAAATCAACCATTATGTCTAAAATAGTGTACCAAATAAATACTTGTATATATATGTATACACACACACACACACACACACACACACACACACAGAGATACACACCAACTGCTGTATAGTACAAATAGCATATAAACCAAGTCTGTAAAAGAAACATAAGAGGGAACAATCCTTTCCAGCAGGAGAGAGAGAGAGAGAGAGAGAGAGAGAGAGAGAGAGAGAGAGATAGTTTCATAGCAGAAGCAGAAATGGAGCAGGGTCTGATGGCATGAGTCACAGTCTTCCAGGCAAAGAAGGGGGGTGTGAGAAGGTTGTAGTGGCAGATGGATGTAGCAGGTGCCCAGAGGCAGGCACAGAGGCGTGGATGTGCAGGCCACTCAGAGAAACATGTTCTGGAGAGGGACCGGAGAATGGGGCTGGTGCGGGAGCATGGGGACATGAAAAAGCTTAGGGCTGGAGAGGAAACTGAGGTCCTTCAAACTATGGAGTGCCCCGAATGCCATGTTAATGAATTTTGATATTTAGGTATTAGGTGAAAGGGAAGGAGCTCCCTAATTAAGGGAGAAGCAGGCCCCTCCCAGATAGGGTAAAGATCGGATTTGGGCAGCTGACACTGTTGGGGAGATGGTGAGGACTTAACCAGGCAGTGAGTGATAAGGAGTGGAAAGTCTGAGGCAGGAAAGGGAAAGTAAGCAGAGCTTCTGTGAATGCAAAATTAGTAGCGAGGACTGACGGACACTTAGGGTGGCCAAGGAGAAGTAGCAGAAAGATGGCTTCTGCATGAGTGGGGATATCAATAACGAGGAAAGGGAAAAAGAACAGGGTCTGTGTGAGTGTGTCCTGTGTCCACAGAAGGCCTAGTAGATTATGGGGAACTAAGGACAAAGGGCACTTTTTACCCCTGTCCAGCCCCATGGAGTAGAATCCACATGAGCAAAAATAATTTCTAGCAGAGCTGTTTGGTAAAGCCCTCCATGTAGGTGGGAACTTGGCCACACACTGTGAAAACTGTCTGTAGGTAAAGAGCAGTACCCTCCCCAGCACAAGCTTCTAGCACCTGGTTCTCCCAGGTGCATGGTAGAGAGGGAGGTCAGTTGCCAGAGTGGGCTGAGAAAGTCCTGCAGACCAACCCAATGGATACCTCCTGAGCACAGCAGATTGATGACAGAATAGCCTTACCTGTTGGTGACGTCTGTTTTTTGCTGGTTAAAGGGGCGATGTACTCAATGGCAAACCACATGTCCCACCAGTGAGAGGAGGCTGCATGTCAAGCAGGGGACACTAGATGACCAGGAGATTCCCTCAATTGGAGGGAGATCTGCTGTTAATGCCACTGAGTGAGGCTATCCTGGCATCAGGCCACCAGGGGCTATTTGTTTGGGAGCCATGGTGTCCCCGTCCCTGTAGTATCTTCATGGTGTCTGGAACTGGCTGCTCCCTGGAGCCTCACATTTACAGAAGGCTGAATCTGGGTACCTGTGGTTCTTTCTATTTCCCTGTCTCTGGACTAAGAATAAGAGACCTGTTGGCCTGCTTAGGCCCCAGGGAAAAAGCTGGTCTCTGTCCAGCCAGGATCACGTTGCAGCTGAGGAGGTAGGTGAGGACAGAGCTGGCATGACTGGTTCCCTGACTGTGCCCTGTGAGGTGATACAGCCTGGCCGGACAGGTCTTACAGATGGCGGTCACTGGAAAATGCCCAGAAATGAAAACGAATCTCCATTTTCCGGGAATCCCTGACAAGCGTAGTGACCATGGCAGAGCTTTCTTGGCACAGACCTCTCTCACCCCACTGCTCCTCTGCTCCCGGCCATGGTCTCCCAGTAACAGGGGCACAATAAGGTCAAGGGGTGTGCAGTGCGAATGTACCCATTTCAGCAAGGCAAACCCCTCTCTGCCTCTAAACCAGACCTGGCCTTCAAATCAGCCCCTACCCCTCCTCCCTGCGGAATCCTTCTTTCCCCACAAGCCTCTGTTTTCAGTGGGCTGCAGTTTAAGGATGCTGCTTCCTTCTCTGCTTCAACACACACACACACACACACACACACACACGTATAAGGTATTCAATTCCAGCTTCCACGTGAAGCTGGACTTGGGAGCACAGGTGGGGGGTGAGGAATGAGGACCATATGGTATATCACAAGGAAGACCACAGCCAGGTGGTTTCCTATCAATACCTGGTCCTCTGGCTCCTGGAGACTGACACCAACTATAAGCGAGACAGCAGCTGGCTGAGGTGAGACATGATAGTCTGAGGCCCCAGGAGAAAGTGAGGTCATGGGGGACTGAACCTGTGAGGCTGGCTTTACTGACACCATGTCCAGGCCCAGTGGTCCAGGCCTGTGTGGGCCTGAGGCCAGAGCGCTCTCACTCACACTTCCAAACAAGGTTACCGAGTTTCTGAGTTGTCCAGAAGCCGTTATGCCTACTGAGGTCTCGGAAAGGATCTTCTTGGGCAAGAGGGACAAGTGCTGACAGAAACCCACAGCATTCAACCTGCGATTGCTCAAGAGAGCTCGTGACTCATGTCCCAGGTAAGAGTTTGACTGCTTATTACTCAGCTACTGTCATGGGGAGCCAGAATCGCTCAGGGAGAGAAAAGTGCTTGGTAATCACTTTATCCGTCACCCACCACAATCCCCTCTGCACAGAGGAGTCTCGGAAACTCAGCTCTCAAAAGACACACCTGAACAGCACAGGGGATGTGACTCATCTGGTCATAAGACGGCCCAGGGCCACAAAGGCAGGTTAGACACCTTAAACCTGACTTTTCAGTCTATTTTTAAGCATTCTCAGAGCCTGTACCGAGTCCTGAGGGAAATGCCGCAGCAGGTTCTACACCAGCTACTATCTAATGGGACACAAACCTCACAGTTGGGATCCCAAGATGATTCTGTCAAGAGTGTTGTATAACCCCCAGCTGCTCATTCTGCCCTCAGCCCAAATCTCTCACACTTCACTGTGAAGTCTGTCCTGATGTCCCCAGTCAGACATACCAATGTCAACTCTGTCCCTAGAGCACAGAGTTCATACTGCTTTGACAGCACCCTCGTACTGGCTTCCAGAAGGCTCTGTGTGTGTGCACCTGTCACCCCCTTAGCAGGAACTGAGTCTTACTCCTTCCTAGATCCAGCTCCATCCTGGCAGAAGGTGCTGACCAAAGAGATCAATGGAAGGATTTCAGATGGACACCAGTGGAGCAACCCTGGCCAAATTCAAAGCATTTCTTGATTTCTTATTTGTAGGGGAAGGAAGTTCCATAAAACTGGGACCTTTGTTCTTAAGTAGTTAAACTTATAAAAAGCCAAGTGTTTTACCCCTCTATGATAGATTCCAGAGGGAAAATAAGAAACCTGAAATGGGAGCTCAGATTCATTTCCTTAGTGAAGCTGGAGAAAAGAAACTAATTTAGGAGGAGCAATCATAGGGCAAAGAAGACCAAGTAGAAACCTCTCCCCTCCTCTGGCTTGCATCCAAATGGAGGAGTCAAACAAGAGAAGCATGAATCAAACAAATCCAAAGGTTACTGAGCCATGTACGGCCATGGTCAGCTTCCACAATAAGGGTAGATCATACCTTTATTAGTGGCGGGGAGCAAAAGCAAGAGAAAGAGGGAGAGGGAGAGAGAGAGAGGGAGGGAGAGGGAGGGAGAAAGAGAGAGAGAGGGGGAATATTACTCTAAGACTCTTGACTTAATTTGATGTGCAGAGGTCAGTTTTTGGCTTTGGAGTTCCTCAACCTTGTATGCCAACATATAACTCAGCAGCCAAACTTAACAAGGCTGCACAATGAAGATTACAAGTTCATACAGGGCAGAGGCTCAGATCCTAAAATGCCAAAAACACAATTACGGGCTCACCAGTCATTAGCTCACTGAGCACTGGTATTTAATAGCTAAAGCTTTTGTCATGCAAGCAAAGAAGGGTAGACAGGGTTATTTTAACCTCTCTGTTTGCCTGAAAGGTACATTGTTCTTGCTGGGTATTCAGGGTTACTTAAAATGCCCACAGTAGTTTCAGAGAAAATTCCCAAGTGGTTGAAGACAAAGAAGATTCAGAAATTGGATTTATTTTGTTTCCATCCTGAACTATCCCGAGAGTAATAAAACAGAATAGTGTGAGTCTTTCTGCTTAGATCACTAGAAATCAGTTACCCCTCTAAAAGAAATAAAGGAAGTGAGTTGTGAGTTGGCTCCTTGAATAATGGATCTGGGAGGCTATTCACAGGAACCATTTTGAATGCATTTTTTTGACTTTTTATTGTGGAAAATTTTAAGCATGAACAAAAGTATAGAGAATAATAGAACAACCTCTGGCCTGATCCCACAGTGTCAGCAGCTGTCAGCACATGTCCAATCTTATTTCATCTATACATCTCCTCACTCCTTTTCCTGCTTGACTCATCTTTTTTTCAGATTATTTTAAAGAAAATCCAAGACAGGAAATCATTTCATCTATATTTT